TGTTTACTTACCTAACAGCCTTCCAGAAGGCCACAAAATGCTATTAGTAATTAGCTGATAGTGTATCCAGGTCCCTTTTATTCCTCATGTGGTTTTGGTATCACAGTGGGGCACACTTGTGTCTCGGAGGTGTTGATGGATGGCTTAACACAATATATAAATTATATAACAGCGGGTAAACTCAATGCACCCATTATTTCCCCATGCTTTTTATTTCGCCCCTGCAGAAGCTACAGTAATTTATGCCTCCCCTTCTTCTTCTCCATCCTTTTGGATGAAGAAGAGCGATACAGCCCACTTTACTGACAACCGGCACCGAAAAAACCCACGTTCACAGTGATACACAAACAACAGTGGCTGTTTTCTCAGCCTTCACGCATGTTTTATTCTAGGGGCGAGAAAAATCTGAATTTAATTAAAGGCGCGAGTATTAATTTAATTGTAGCAACAGTATGTTGATGACTCATGACTGATTGAGGGTTTCTAGATTGTCAGTGGGAGGTCCGGAGCAAAATAACGACTCCTCGGTTTTTCTTTTCCATTAGCTATCAATATTTTTTCCCCCTTTTATTTGGGAAATTAATTTTGTCACATAAAGCGACACTCAAATCATCACAAGTCTACTTTGGTAACCGCAGGCCAATGCAAAGGTTGCTTTTTATTACAAATGAAGGCAGATCTGTTTAAATGTCAGAAAGAGAGTGAAAGTGGGGAAAAAAGGAGCAGATGGAGAGTGCAGCACACGTCTCAGCCAAGTTGGAGAGGCAAAAACTTCCCAGAGATGGATATTCGTGAACTTCCTGTGCCTCAGAACACTAGACGTGACACGAATGTCCAACCATGGAATTTCTCAGACTTGCTTTTCCAAAGATAAAACTCCACTGCTTTCAAAGTTTAAAAATTTGGGGTCAGCGAGATTATTATTTTTTAATAAAATTAATACTTTTATTTAGAAAGGATGCATTAAATTCAATCAAATCAAAAGGGACAGTAAAGGTTTTAGAAATGTTACAAAATGTTTCAAATCAATGCTGTTCTTTTGAACATTCCATTTAAAGAATCCTGAAGAAAATTCTGTATCAAAAATATGAAGCAGCACAACTGTTTTCAACACTAATAATAATAATAAATATTTCTTGAGCAGCAAATCCGCATATTATAATGATTTTTGAAGGATCATTTGACACTGAAGACTGGAGTAATGGCTGATGAAAATTCAGCTTTGATCACAGGAATAAATTACATTTTAAAATATATTAAAATAGAAAACAGCTTTTTAAAAATTTTAATAATATTTCACAACATTAATGTTTTAAGGTATTTTTTTAACCAAAACAATGCAGCTTTGGTGAGCACAAGACTTGTTTCAAAAACTTTGAAAAGCCCCAAACTTTGGAAAAGAACATTTTATCAGTCTTTTCCACAGTTTTAAGTCAATAAAGCAATGTCAATAAATTGAAAGCGATGCTCTCGTATTAAAAGTTGTTTCTCAGTCTCGACATCCAGAGTGAAACGTACCGACATCTAGTTATCAATGTGACGGCTCTTTAATGTTCCGCTGAGTTGTGAGACTAGCGTAACATACGCCGCAATAAGCGACACTGTTCCCTCCAGCCTCGTGGATTTAATTTGATTTGATAACTTGTTGTTTTATGTCAGTAACTGCAGCTCTTGGCACTTTCCCTTACAAATTCATTCCCTCCCTTTCACTCCATCCATTTTCCTTCCTTTCTTGCTCTCTGTGGTGGGTCTGTTGCTCTCCTCTGCTATGAAACCACTATAAACAGTAGTTCAGATGTGAAAAGACAACATAATCACAGTGTAATTGTTGCATCCTCGTGAAAATGCTGAAAATTGCCTTAAATTCATCGGAACGACATGTCCCTAGCAAAAATATGAAACCACTGAATAATGTCTACCAATGTTTGCAAAATATTACCAAAATATTGACTTTTTTTGTTATTTATTTGTAAAATGAAAGCATTTTATCTCAATTTATTAGGATTGAAATTAACATTCATTTCTGTGATTAATGTGTTTAACCAGTTTGAGGGTGTAAAAAAGCAGCTAAAATTATTAATTTTGATTTAATCAGAAAACATTTAATTAGTTAAGTAGATAAACATCATTATAAATGTTATAAATAAAATATTACAAATATAAGCGTGCATTTTGTCTTTAAAAATAGATCAATTCACGTCCCTAGAAATCACCAGTACTCAAGACATGCGATTGTTTACAAGGTATTTCATTTTTTCGGGCTTTTTTGACGCTGTTAGAAGAATGAGTTTGACACGTGATTTTGCAAGGATTGTCATATGAACATCTCTCAGCAGTCAAATAAAAAAAAGATTGATGTACTGCAATACTTGGTGTATTTGCACTGTAAAAAAAACTGCAATACGTATTGCACTGTGAATCACGTATCGTAACAATAACAATGCATCACAGCGATTCTGGCTGACCGTCCTCTCTCTGATTTAGACTGCTGAAATCTAAACTAAGACAGGAGGAAGACTGATTGATTTTATACTTAAGTTAGGTTTGAGTTCCAATATTGAGGTGGAAATTTGTACCTTGATGCAATAATGTAGAATGTTACAGTATATTGGCTTTTTTTACAACCGTCTCAAACAGAATTCCAATCAGAATGAAGTCTGAAATTAGATTTATAATGTTAACTTTTACTGTATTAGGTCTTTTGTTGAAATCTAAACTAAGACAGGAGGAAGACTGATTGATTTTATACTAAAATGAGGTTTAAGTTCTAATATTGAAGTTTAAACTTGCAACTTTATGCAGTGATGTAAAATTTAGCAGACTATTGGCTTTCCAAATAAAATTCCAACCAGATTAAGTCTGAAATTAGCTTTATAATGTTACTTTACTGTTTTAGGTCTTTTATGTAAAACATACAATGCGTTTTGGATTATAAAATGTGAGATTAATTTTTTTTGTCATGAATAATCATCTTTTGATTCACGTCCAACAAGTTTTACTAGAAATAAAAGGTGTACCTTTAAGTAAATTTGCAACCTGATGAAATAATGTTAAACATACAATATGTTTTACATTACAAAATCAGACATTTATTCTTTTTGTAATGAATAATCAGCTTTTGATTTGCGTCCAACAAGCTCTACTATGAATAAAAGGTAAACTTGTAACTCGATGCAATAATATAGAATTTTACAGACTATTGGCTTTTTTTTAATGAAAGTTTCAAAAGGAATTCCAATCGGAATTAAGTCAGAAATTAGCTTTATGGTGTTAATTTTACTGTTTTCTTTTATGTGCAACATATAATGTGTTTTTCATTACAAAATGTGAGATTTATTCTTTTTGTAATGAATAATCATCTTTTGATTTGCATCTAACAGGTTCTACTGTAAATAAAAAGAAAATCAAATTTAGTTTAAATTCACTGGATTATGGATATATTTCCATATATATATATATATATATATTTATTTATTTTTTATTTTTTTAAAGTTGTGAAACAAAAGAAAAATGAAGTACGTTTTACAAGAAAACACCATTTCTGCCTTTTTAACTCAAAATCTCACATTCATTTCAATGCGTTACTTGCAGATTCTTTGTAATTGTAAAATTTGCAAGCAATTTCTGAGTGAAAATTGTTTCCACACTATTTATTTCAGTATATCCAGTTCCTCTGATATTAAATTGGTCATACCGCCCACCCCTACCTAGCAGCTATTAATCTCACGTCGAAGGACAGTAAGGTGAACATAGCAAAAAGACTGTATCTGTACCATAAAACCCTTTTGCGTTCATTTTTCAGACAGACACCTGACGCTCGGTATAGAACCGCTGATCAATATTTAATCTGGAGAAATAAATTGTGCCTGTTTGTCTTTCATCTTACGAGGGAAATGTATGTATTGTGACAACAGTAGCGATGCATTAATCAAATAATGGAATAGTGATTTTTGGGGAGCCGGGACCTCGTTGCTATATTAACCGTAACCGCACGCTGTTGACATGATGCATCTCACGGCTCTTTTCTTGTTACCTCAGCGCAGATCATCTCAGCCTCGTTGGGTACCTAAGAAAAGATTCAGATCCCATGTGTGCGTTGTGCATAATATGCTGTAACATGCACGGATATCACACGCTTGTACTTTTGACCTTCCCAGCGCTGACAGTGAGGAACTATTTTTTCTCCATTTATTCTCAGGCCCCTTGTCTTCGCAATTACCGCGTTCCAATCTCTCCTCGTCCCCACAGTCAGCCACAATCCCCAGTAGGATCGCCGGTCTTTCTTGTGGTGGAGCAATTACGTCCCTATCTCCCTGAAACAAAAAAACTTTTAGACTAGGATATTAGGAAATGTCAAATTCAGGTTAGATTTCCCTTTTCTCCATAGGCAATGTGCTTTCCTCACTGGAAGCGTAGCTGTGGCTATACTACATAATGCATGAAGCTCACTGGCTACCCCTGCAAAACATGCCTCATTCACATGCTTTACAACCAGACAGAACTGGTATACAGTAGCATACATGACTTTGAAAAGTTTTAATGTGAAACTGGAAGGAATCTGAGCCATGGCCTAGTGGCCTTTTGTGCTCATGCAGGTAATGCAGGTTTGAATCTGGCAGGTCAGAAGGCCAAATGTATAAATCATAGGGCTGGGTAATAAATATTGACATCTCGATATTAATCGATTCTCATTTTTACGGAACGATATCGATTCTTAAATCCCAAGAATCGATTAGTCTAGCCTGTTTTCAGTTAATGGACGGAACATTGAAGGGCACTTCCCATCCAATAAATCGCAATAAGCATTGTGCGTTGGTACTTTTAATATGAAACAAAGTCTCAGATTTCAAATTATGTCTATTGTATTGCAGTATTCAAACAATAAATGCCATTTTGGCGCTGTTTAATGTGGCGTGACAGATCGCTGTAGCGCTTCAGTTCAACAGACGCAGTAGCGCGAGGCGCACATGAACTGATCATCTCCTCCACATTAATACCAG